AAAGACCATCAGACGAGCAGGAAGTACAGAAGCCTAGACTTGCAAGTGAAGTGAGTGAAGTTAAAAAATGTCAAACTTGCATATACGTAACCCATTCTGCAGAAACCTCTCATGTCTCTAGATAGAAATGGCACTGACCTGCCAACTTTTACAATAAAAGCAACACAAAAAAGTAAGCAAGTGAACAGAGAATAGTACCTCATAAGGAGCTTTCCTTGTACTTACAGCATCATTTTCATTAAATATAGGAATAACCTTCAGAGATGCCAAAGTCTTTACAGTCTCGTTAAGTTGTCTCCTAAAATCCAGATCTCTAAAATCATTGTCTGTAACTAAAAGCTGTGCCGATGCCACATCCAACTGCATATGAGAAACAGAATCATCATAATACAATTATATGCATAAAATAACGAATCCATTAAAGGAAGATTTATTTTTTTAACCACCACAAGGGAACTCGTCAGACTAATTATCACGAAAAGGTACCTACATTGTGATTTTACCTGGCTGAACAAAGTATCATAGAGAGCCATGAGACCATTCTGTCCAACAGCTGCACAAGCTTTCCCATCGAGTTCCATCTGTGGTTTCTGGAGGTCAGCAAAGCTGCAGAAAACCCAAATCACAAATATTATTAACTCTATAACTGAAAAAGATTCGACATTATTCAGTGAAGGTTCATGATATATATATTTTTTATTGGAGCTTCCAGATTTGAAATAGAATGAAATCCAGCTGCAAGATTCATCAAATAAGTTGGCAGCATGTGTGTAGTGATACTTAAAAACCAAACAACATCTTCAGAAAACTGCCGAACTGGGGACACGGATTAGTTAACAAACAAATGAATATTCCTTAGTTTTCAAAGATTCCATCACATTCCTTCTGAAGTTTCCAAACAAAAACTCCAAAACATCAAAGCCAGTCCCAAAACCTGCTGTTAATCAATCTCCTGTATCTAAGGCGTTGGCGGCCAACACCTACGGCACCCGATGTCACCAAAATAACCTCATATCCCTCAGAGTTTAGTTCTTGAATCTGCAGTTCAATTGGAATTCAAAAGTGTAAGCATCGGTAAAAGCCAGTTGAAGGCTTGAAGCATTAACTATACATGAAAGAATATAAGCGGGACACAATCCTTCAACTCACCTGCTCGCAGAGTGCTCCTAATCTTCCAAGTGCTAATCTACCATCACCTCGAGTGACAACAGCAGTTCCAACCTTCAAATAAATTAAGATTAATTATCAGCAAACATAAGAAACTACGATATTGAGGTATAGGATACACAAAGTGGGCCGAACTAAACCAAAAGAAAAGCTGTGACAGAATATAAATGCTATTATTTAGGCCGTAACAAAGCTGATTAGCTATAATTTTACATTTCTAAACTAAAAGCAGAAGTCAAGGAACAACTATTTTGATTAGAAAAGCAACTGTCTGTTTTTAACATTAATATTTCCTTCTCACAACCCTACCTCTCCAATTTTTAATTTACAATCTCTCTTACTCGTAACAGCAATTAAACATTTTAGGCCAACAAGAGTTTGCAAATTTCCATATGAAACTCGAATATAAAATATTTGTATTTCAAAGTTCAAAAGCTTACTCAAGAATCGGTCTACATTTCAATCAACCTTCGAAGCATTAGACGTACAAATGAGTCTCCCTTGAAACTATTCGTACAACCCCCCAGTTAGTCTCATTATCTATTGATCCATTATTTAATGTAGGGACTCAAAACATAAAAGAAAAACATGAAAATTGAATGTGTTGTTAGAAAAGAGAGACAGTTCTGACGACTATTTTTCTACTGAAGCACATTCATAGAACCTAGCGGTTCAAAAGGTGCACCTTCGCCTCTACATAAATTGGGAATTTCATTCATTGCAATTCAGTAATACAAAAAAATATAAACCATCAACCATAATTATAGAATTCAAGCAAATTAATATAAATAAATCCCGTGTACAATTGAAGTAATGGAAAATGGGAGTTTGAATAATATAAAATTAATCCGGATAAAGAAAAACACATAAATGGAAATAAGAAATGTGACCTTGATGATGACACGTTTAACGTCTTTGACAAATGCACGCGTGGAATCCACAGCCTCCATTCTTGAGCTACGCTACACAGAGAGTGAATTATCGGTATGGGCTCTGATTATTAGCCTTTGTGTGGCGGAGGCAGAAAATAAATACACGGAATTGAGCAAACAATAGGATTTTGTCGGCAGCGAAAAATGAGCAGACACTGTGAAGAACTCTTGTAGGGTTTTTGCGGATATAATCCACAGCCGTTTGTATGTATTGTAGTTCCACTACTGAATCTGACTCTGATAAGGAGTAGGCTGCAACTTTCCAATTATTTTATTTTTACTCGTTTGTTCGTCTGCTGAGCGTGGGCAATCAAAATGCGTGCTGACGTGGCGATGCATCTTCTTAAACAAAGGCGGGCTGCATTTTTCAACGCCGAAAACTGCTATGTACATTGATTTACTCTCCGTGCTTGGCACGTAGTGGATCTCTTCCTTTTTATTTTTATGTTTGAATATAGTGTGGATCTTCTTGTTACAAGAATGATGTAGTTCACACCAGATAAACAACATTAATCTTGTTATAAATATATACGTGTTGATCTTGATTCTCAGCTGAATTACATTCACATCAATCCTGATTTCACTTACATTCATGCTTGAGGCACTTGTTCACTTGGACAAATCATTATAAGCATGTAGAGATGAATATTGAGAGTGGAATGAAAGGAAAATGCGAGCCATAATTACGTGTACAAAACCTGGGTTGTAGAGAGGAAACAACAATGGACAAGATTACTATGGAGAATGTAAAAGACGTGGCCTCGTTCAAATGGCGACAAGCCATCCCCTAAATGTTACTTCTACAATCCTATATTCAAAGAGCATTTAGGGCATATTTGATAGGCCTTTTTTTTCCAGAAATTTCATTTTCCACGTTTGTCATGTTTGATAGCCAAAATTTTACAAGGAAAATATTTTCCCCCCACCCTGCCCCTTTTTCCATATTTTTGTTGAATTGATTTTCCCACCACTTTGGTGGAAATATGGTTTCCAGCTTTTTTTTTTTTATTATTATAAAAAAAATTCTATTAATAGATAAATTTCATGGAAAATAAAGTCAAAACGAATATCAAAATATCCAAAATTTCAACATTTTTCAGATAAAAAATTATACCCGTCAAACACAATTAATTGACAATTCCCAAGAAAATAATTCTAGACAATTCAATTCCTTATAATTCATTTTATTTTCACCCACATTTCACTATTACAATCAAATGAACCCTTAATAATTCTGAAAATTTAGCTTGGGGCCATCAGTTAATCATTTGGAAAATCTTGTTAAAATTTTTTTTGCAAGAGGCGAACTTAAGTAGATGTGATTATAGGTTCAAAGGCTAATCCCTTCGAAGATGAGTTGCAGCAGATTGTAGCACCTCGCCTCGATCATGGAGGATCGGCCTCAATGTGACGCTTCGACTGAAGTGGAGGTGTTACTTCGGCTATCTCTATTGAACGACCTTGATTAGGCTAGATATGTCAGTGACTTAAAATGCATATCTGAGATTTCTTTTTAATTAATTGTCACGTGATCATTGATTAGAGTCTCATAGAATGAGGCATAATAATATATTTAGAATAATGTTATCTAATGATGCTAGAGTTTTAGTCTAGATGACCACATTTGATAGATTAACTTAAATGAATTACGTGACAATGTATCTAATTTAACTATTATTTAATGTTATGCAATTGTCACATAAATCGGTGTTTAACACTAGTGATGCTTAATAATATTACTCATATATTTATTGTATCAATTTGACGTCCTCAAATTGCTTGGGTGACGTGACCAGTCATATTCAACAATAAATAAATTTAAATAAGACAATCAAATTCAAGTTTCTTTCTCCACATTAAGAAATACCTAGAATGAAATTGACTGTATTCTTAGATCAATTCTCCACTAATACAAGATGCACTTTAAAGCTTTGTTAGGAGGGGGGAAAAAGGCACTAAATATATTATTAGTCTATTACTGTTAACCAACGAGATAATGTCCAAATAACAATTTTCCTTGACCACTAACAGGGCATAGTCATTAGTCAACTTACAAAACTAATTTAAATTTTGAAACACGTGTCTAGATATTTTATGAATCACTTTAACAATAGAAGTAGAACGTATTTGAGTTTTCCAAATCTCACAGCTGTAATTGACTCTAGCTTCCATCAAATACCTACCTAAGGCATAGCTGAAGACATTGACAGAAAGATCCTACAACCGTGCTATATGTACAGTAACAGAAAAAAAAATTATAGACAACATATGACAATATTTGATTCAAAGTTGTCAAACAGAAAAATATCATACCATACAGGTGCTATCTGCGCAACACCTGTAAAAGATATGTACAAGATCCTATAAATAAAGCTGAATAGATAGCAGTAGCCAAAACAAAGTGCACCTCTTTCAGCAACACTTGGTAGAAGAAACGAATAAAAATGTTGAATAATGCTATTTAGCACTCATGGTTTTACATATTGTAACTTACAATACCAATTTAGATGGCGCTACGTTTCATTAAACGAAATGTGCCATTAAATGAACCACTTAACCCTGCCTTTTATTTAGCTCTTCACTTAACGTCATCTGAAGTTGTGCTAGTGTTAGATAACATTATTCAAAATGTCTCCAAGACAACATTTGTATATTTACCAAAATTAGAATCTAAGCAAAAACAAAATATTCCAACAATATTGTTTATCTATGTGACTCGAACAAACCTAACCTATGCGCTAAATCATGTTCAAACTTCAAATTCCTCAATTTACATACACAACAAAACCACATCACCACTACTTGCATTTACCAACAATAGGCTTCAACTCCATTTCGCAAACTCTTCACCCCAAATATGATTAAATCGTCACCAAAGAAACACCAAACCAAAATCGAGCTTTATGCAAAAAACCACATCTTGATGAAGATTGCCAGACCCATTTGCAGGACAGATGAAGAAATAACGACTAATGTAATTTCACTCTCCTTTATATAAGATCTGAGGTTCAAAGCAACAAAGCTGGCTGATGCACCGCCACCAAGTAATATGATAGTCCATCGCAGAAACTCAACTGGAATAACCAACAGGAACTGAACATATTCAAGGAAACAAGTCAGATCACTGCATTACTAATTTAAATTACATTCAGGAGGAGACAACAGAATAACATGACCAAATAAAAACCTTCATGCAATGCAAATTCATCATTGTATTCGTCAGTCACAGTCACGCGTAGCAATTGGTTCACATGAATGTCAAACAAAAAGCAAGCAACCGCAAATTCAGGAACAAAAAAATCATGAGCGCGTCAAGAAAAAATACCTAGCACCAATGATTTAAGATAATCTAGAGTGAATATTGGAAGATTTAGTTAATCAATTATCCTTTTTGGGTAAGGTTAAAGATACAAAGTCTGACTCCTAATAAGAGCTTGTTTGGGAGAGATTTTTTCAAGTGAAAAATGATTTTTTGGAGAGTGTGGTTAAAAAGTTCGGAAAAGTTATGGGCCGCATTGAATGTGGTTGAAAATGATTTTCAAAAAATCTTTCCCAAAGAAGCTCTAAACTTGGTGAGATAAGTGAATTCTCTTTTGCCACTGGTTGATCAAGCCCAGGTCGATGAAAGACCTGTTGAAATCAAATCTTTTGCAACCACCTTATACCATCTAAATTTGTTCCCGGACTCCCTCTTCTAACATATACTACTAAGATTATTTCTCTTTCTAGTCTTGTTGACACTTCTATAGGTCTATGCAACATAAGTGGTTCTCCCGTCAATTTATCCTCAATTAGCGTCAATCCTACTTGGCTTATATCTTAATTTTTTCATGTTATTCATTTCTATTGCCACACATCATGTCAGAATTCTGCAATTTTCATCTTATGGACGTTCTGCCGTTTCATGAGCAAACATTCAGTATCATAATATAACTGGTCTAATAGAACTTGCCTGTTAACTAGATGGGCACATCTTATTGACATAAATCCCTATAGCGCTTCTCCATTTTGCCCAATTCACAGTAATTCTATGCATTACATCCTCTTCACGTGATCATTCTTTTTAATAATTTAAATTAATTATATGAAAACAATCAATCGTCGAGACATCATCCTTTAATAAGATTCTTATCAATCCGACTAAATTGGTATTACATTTATTATGTCCTAATTTTACTTAACCTAAAACCTCTCAATTTCAAATTGTTCCATTACGATTTATTCAATTCCAGTATCACCCACTAAAACTATATAATCAGACAATAACACATACCAATAGACTTTAGCTTGGACATATCCCCTAAAATCAAATTAAAAGTCTCTATCAATTACGTAGTCTACATTTTCATTTCTCTTTACAACGGCTTGTGAAACATCCACATACACCCATGTTCATATTTGCAAATTGCATTGATCAGAATGAATAGACAGCAATATATAGCATATGTTAAAAACCAGTATGCTTATTTTCCTTCAAATTCTCCACAGAAATCAGGTGACCACTGTCCAATCTTATGAGAGAAACTACTAAAATAGATTTAGCCTATGTTTGAGCTCCATTTTTCCAAAACTCACATTCAATCACATATTCTCCCATAAAATAATTTTACACGCAAATTCAAAACTTTTTCGGACATTTTAACCACACATTCTCCAAAAAAATCAATATCAAAAAATCTATTTTCCCAAAAAATGGGGCTCAAACAAGGCCGTAATGTGCATTAAATCATAATCCCTTCAGACACCAGTGAGTTCCTAGCAACGAAAGCTCACAGAAGTACCTTCCCAGAAAATGTCTCCCGTAGAACGTGTATTATGTAAAATCATTCGACAAATAAAAACATATAGTATGGTAGCTTTTATTTTTGCTAAAGTTAGACAAAACTCTTGAATTGAATGCCCCATGACTAATTTATCAGAAAAAACAAAGACAGAGCAGGCACATATACTTACAGAGCTTAGAATGAAAATGAAAAGGGAATATCCCCACAAGCACCAAAAGCGTATAAGGCTTGCATTTGATCCCAGGTACTGAAGCAAAAAGTAATATGCCAGTGGCACTATCAACGCATAACCGTATATGGAGCAAGCTGCCACATTTAAATAACTGACGTCGAAGGTCCATGAAGTACTGTAATCACTTCTTCTATGCATTAGGTAGGTAGAACAATTTCCAAGGGAAGCAATTGCAAATACCAATGTAGTGGAGATCCAGACAAGTCCGTAGCTAAAAGATGGGGGAAAGAAAAAGAGAAGTCAGAGGGAAAGCGCAGCAATGCCGAAAGATGAAGTCAAAAAGTCGAAAATGGACATTAAAAATATATAACAGGAGAACCAGGATGAAAATTAGAATGGTATAGATGCTATCTGTGCAATTCATATCCAACGGATTTGAGATCATTATCCCTTTTTCCTCTATTCTTTTCTTAAGCTTCTGGAAGATTTTTTTTTTTTTTTTTTGAAAGGTGTAAAAAAAAGCTTCTGGAAGATGTTTCAGTTGAATTTTCATATTTTAGTTGTTTGCTTTAAAATTTCCACCTAATAATCTTGTATAGTCAGATAGTCCTTTTCTGTAGATTTTTTAGTCTAATTCCAGTTATCAATAGCCTGTAGAAAATAGCCAAACTATATTACAGGGGAGGAGGGGGGGAAAGAATAACATATTATGAGGACGTGGTCTTAGAAAACCTCCAGCCAGCCCAAATTTGAGATGAAAATAATATTTATACACCATTTCCCTCTATCTCACACTGTACATCTTCTATTTCTTTAAGTCTTAAAGTGTCCATCCTTGCACAAAACACCAATGAAAGGTACGATACTCTGGTTAGTACAGAAGTAGAAAGAAGGCCGGAAAGTACATATATGTTGAGAGTAGAGTTACGGGAACAGCCGTNGAAGGCCGGAAAGTACATATATGTTGAGAGTAGAGTTACGGGAACAGCCGTACGATGGAAAATGACTTTCACATTCAGTTCAGAGAGCACTTTTTCATTGAGAATTCCTCGTTCCCTTTCGTGTGAATTCCCTAGGTGCGAATTCATTCATTTAAATCTACCTATTAAATTGGAAAAGATGCCGTTTCGCCATTACTTATTATTTCATCCTTAACCTACAAGGCCCAATCACTTATTTACTCATGGAAGTATGGAAATGTACTTCATTAATTATAGATAGATGCCATTTTTAAATTTATAGTCACTCGGGAACGTGAGAAAGATCATAGGCTTCATCAAATAATTCTGGAAAGTAAAAATCCAAACTTTCATCTTGAGCAGTTACTATTGGCAGCTAATATTTTCAAAATATCTTCAGTAGGATGGAAGTTGTCCGCACTATTAGAAGTACTACAGAATTGGAAACTAGAAATGGCCCATGAGGAAACATGACCACACCTGTTAGCCCGTATCAACATATTATATTACCACAAGAAACAGTACACTGGACTCCCATTTGCAGCACATTTATAACTTGCTTGGAGTGCATTTGAGCTAAAAAAATTAAAAGGTAAAATTTCGAGAACTTGAACTGAAAAAGTTCATTGAAGAGCAGACTATCCCCAATTTAAAATGTAATAAATTTGGAAAGTGGTCTGAGTAAACAATTTGCAGCTACTGACTACTGTAGACAACTATTATGAATATGGAGTTGGAGATGAACAAATGATAAAACCAACTCGTGTTAAGGCAACTGTAGCTGTAATGCAGTAATTGTGGATATCTACAAAGATGAGTCAGAAGATGAAAGAAGATTCCTAAATTAGAAGACGAAAGGATTTGAGCATTTCGTGGAACTTATTGCAGCATTCTTCTATATTATGCATCAATTTGTCAAATGTCAACAGCAGCCAATGGCCATATTGTTTCTTGTAAACTATTGGCAAGGGACTGTTAATGTTGAGATTGAATTCATCCTTTCAGCATCTCACTAATATTGGTGAAAAAGAATTAATTAGAAAAGAAACACTCGCAGCTCATCCGTTTTGCATCATCAAATGGTATGCACGTAAACCATGCACACTTTCATTTCAACTAAGAAGTCTTTTGAAAAAAAATTGTCAGAAATCAACGAGTTCAAGTTTTCGTGATTCCCTATCAAATAACACTCAGTTAACTAGCTCCAATTACTGTATTTCATGTCCAAATCTTCACACCAGAAGCGAACACCTACGACGAGAAAAATTGATCTCATAGCCAAAAGATATATATAGAGAGAGCTGGAGAGTATCCGGGAAATGAGAAGTAGTGCCAGGGATTTTACGTGTAAATACTACATCATATACTCAGTTAAAAATATATCCTTTTCAACAAGTGGTTTCAAATGAAGAAACGAAACGAAATTGACTATTCAGCAATGTCAAAATAAAATCCTTCTCCAAAAAAGGTAACTTACAGGTCTGGGTTGGCATCAATCTTGCTGAAAAAATCTCCACTTATAGGATACAATGAGCTGATCAATCTGTTCAACACAATGTCTGTATCTACATTAAAATATTGTGTGTAAGAAGAGATACTAAACACTCCTTTCCAGTTGTTTGTCGCCTGTTGTTCATCTCCATCTGCAGGAATTATCAGGTAGCGTGTAATTAGCTGTTTGAGCAAGAGTATTTGCTTCATTGTTGGACTCATCTGGGTATTTTAATACACATAAAAAGGTTTGGTGATAATAAAAGACTAAATAGGCAATATTTCTGCACCTTCCCTTAACGTGAATATCAAAAGTCTGGCTTACAGTGAAAGCCCTTTGTTTATTAGGAAAGCGTAAGGGGAAGGTAAGAACCGAGGGTACCTAAATACTGTACGTCAAACAAGCATTCACCACAATCTCAGGGGAAAGAAATATGTTTTTCCGTTGTCTATCATTTTCAGTTCAAGAAAGAAATGGCTGGTGAAACAAATAACAAGCAACATTTATTGATTTCTTATATTTTAAAATATTTTTTTGTATCTCAATGACCAATCAATTTAAGCCCCTATTTGACAATCATTATTTTCAAACTCCTTATTCTATATACTTATTTTCAACTACACATTCACAATAAAATATTCTACACATAAATCCAAAACTTTTTCCACATTATCCTAAAAAACACTATTCAAAACTTTGTTTTCTCCAATTAATGATTGTCAAACAAGGGCTAAATGTGGTTTGAATAGTTTAAGAAATAGAGTATTGTAACTTATTAAATGCAATCATTGTACATTAAGAATAGAGAGTGAATTTGACTCTCTAAATTTGGAGAGCCAAACCTATTATCTATTTTAAAAAGTTAAAATAGAGTTGAGCTTATTTTTAAGTATTATTTCTTTAAAATATGTGATTATATAAAGAATTTCAGGAAAATAATTGGCAATGAATGTATGAGAAATCGGAAGAAATGATGCATAACTCCTAGTACATTATAAGCCCATGTTTGGTAACCATTCTTTCAAGTCTTTTTCCTTATAATCATTTTTAACAACAAATTTTCACAATAAAATATTATTTACGTAAATCCAAAAAAATTTCCTACTTTTTAACTACACATTCTCCAAAAAATTACTATTCAAACACCCATTATTTACAAAAAAAAATGGCCGTCAAACAGGGGCTTATTGTCAAGGAATAATGACAAGTCCGTTTCAAACGTAAAGTTTAATCTTTTTATTTTTAGTTTCACAATAAAATTATGGGCAACCCGAGCGTGCTTTGCTTGTATAAGCACCAAAAGCAAGAAGATTATGTGCTTTCTCAAGGGCCAAATGGCACTATGCTCGGACTACGATTTCAAAATTGGAAAAGGAGATCTATCAGCCCTTTCCTCTGGGCTATTTCAAGGGATTCCTATTCGGTTTCATATCTAACTAGGTATTATCTTTTAATAGGGGCAAAAAACAGTGAGCCATAATCCAATAATGTTGTTACTTACCTCCATCAGAGGATGCATATTTGTAATATACAGGCAATACCCATTGGTATTCCAATACATGACGCCAAAATTTTTGGTAGACTCATTTTGTTCCAGAACATGTGCGAATCATGAATTTATAAATAAACTTCGAAAACAAACTAGTGTTCAATTAATAGCCAAATCATACAGACAATATATCTATTAAACAGGTGACAGAAGTACTAGATGCTGTTATTAAGTTCTCCATGTTCCCTACTAGGATAAAAAATATGGATGATACTACATACCACCGGTACCACCGAGAGTTTGATATCCCGTGCCCCTGCTTGCACTATTATTGGGAGGAAATATTTGCAAATTTGCACCAAGAACTGCAGAGAAAATATTCAATTCTCATTGATAAGTCTAAGAACTTTACAGAGCCATATATGGGGGAATACACAATTTACAAGATAAGGAAAGGAAAGGTTCAGAAATCTAGTTCCCTTTCTAAGAGCAATAGGTACATCTAAGCCATCAAAGGTCTCCATATTTACTAGATTCTGAGATTGGAGAAGGTGTGATTTACCTGTATTTTCAAAGTCGCTTATATTTGAATTAGACTCTTGCCAAATCAATAGGAGGTTGATTGTAAATACCACTTTCAGGATTTCTCCTCCTAGAATAGACAAGAAGCTCAGGTTGACTTTTTTTCAAGTAGATTCTCCCCTGCCACGCCCACCGTTTCTTCCGATGGCATCATAACAGTGTTCTCAACGAAATCAAGCTGCTTAGATTGTTCATGACCCGAGAAGTTTTTCAAGAACAATTGGTCAAATAAGACTCACTTCAAAAAATGTGACATCAATAGTCACAGAATTTTTTGGAAACAGGGTGAAAACACTTGTATCCATTTTCGCATTGATGAATATCCTACAAAGACACATTTTAAAGCACGGGGATCGAGTTTGATCTATTTGGTGCATGAATTGCAAAGACGAAATGCATCAAAATATTTTTTTTGGTGGAAATGATGTGAAATGAGGAATTTGTTTGGAAAGATTGAAAGAACATCAAGCGGTTTTAAGATTTTAGTACCTTTGTTGGCATCTGATTTATAAAATAAGTTGTTAAAACTGCTTCACCTCGAAGATAGGAACTCCATTCGTAAACATGATGGCCTTAGCAACTTTGAATAAATGTTGATTCTTTCTTTCAGTAATAGTTTTGCTGAGGAGTGCTAAAACATGAAGATCGAAAGAAAAATGCCATGTTCTTTTAAATCTCGAAGAATAGCATGGAAATCTTCTTTGCCATTATCAATATGAAGAATTTGAATGCGTTCAAAATTGAGTGCAAAATCATGGCATAAAAATCTTTAAAAACTTTTGAGGCCTCAGATTTCTTTTAGAAGGTAAACCCAACAGACTCGTGTTATCATCGATGAAGGTTATAAACCATTTTGTCCAAGTCGCGTTTAACACTTGAGAAGGACCTAAAATTCCACTATGTAAAAGAGAAAGAGGTTTTGACACTTTATATGATTGGGGAGGAAAATGAACTTGCTGATGATTAGATAACCAGCAAAACTCGCAACGAAAATCTGAAGGATTATTGTACTTAAACAAAGCAGGAAATAGTTTTTCCAAATACAGAAAGGTAGGATAGAATTACCAAGCTAATAATGCTATAAGAGTATTTTATTTTCAGCAAGGAGAAAGAAATTTCACTACTGCTAGCAACTTGAGCTCGTCGACTTTGTAAGGAATTATCCGTGAAATAGTAGTCCATCAACCTCTTTAGCGTTGCAAATCATCCTTCCCCAAACAATTATGTATTGATGTTCCATCTTAAAAGGTTAACCTTGTTAAAAGGAGAAACTCAATTTCTTGTATATTGATCTACATTTCAGCATTTGACCAATGTCGAATTTATTCCGTACCATGTCCTACAAAATAGTGAATCTTTTGAGCTGATCAATCTTAGAATCCGTGTGTTTATTTGAGTTTTAGTGAGATCGAATTGTTCGTTGGATACTGGACTCTAATACCATATGTAGGGGAATACGCAATTTACAAGATAAGGAAAAGTAAATTGTAAATAGCTAATCTAGACTAAAACTAGGGATTTACAACAGCATAAAAATCAAATTAGATAAAATTAAATCTGGTTGATTGAATCAAATCAAATTTGAATCAAGTCAAATCAGGCTAAACCAAATCTGATTTTCCCACACAGAACAATGAATAATTGAATATAGAACAATTATTATAAGTTTCTTACCCTCTTGGCTAGAGGGTGTCTTTTCTTCACTAACAACAGCCTGCACATTTATTATAGAGAAGAATAAATAAATATACTAAAAAATCTCTTTAGTTTATAACTATTTGCATTTGATTTTCAAGCATATAAAGCATAATTAAATTAATAATTATTTAACACTAGAATTCCCTGGGAAACTTAAGAGGCATTTCAAACCCAAAAGGGAGAAAATCAAAAGAAGGGAGGAGAATTCAAATAAATTCACATTGAAGTTGAACTAACAGGAGAGCTCCATTCCTCCTACTTACTAACAGGAGATATTATTACATTTGATCATCAATAAGAAAACTCAAAATTATGATGAGAAACTGTTTCTCGTCACTAACAAAAGAAAATGCTTTAACCGTAGTCAGGCAAATCAGCCATAATAAAATCACTTGGGCATTGAATCTAATCACCTCAATAGAAAAATCAATTAAATTACAATCCTGAACGAGCTTAACAAATCAAGTTTAAATTTAAAAAAAAACTATAATTATATAAAAATGACCTCTAAGCTCGTACGACTAATTAATCATCTTCCAAGGTAATACACATAAAACGAATCACCAAATATTTTCTTTCCCAGGAATTGTACATCCAAAACTAGCATTAACAAAAAAAAAAATTGAAGTCCTCATAAATGAGTAACCGTACTTCAAATCTTTTATATCAGCTCGACATTTTCAAAGCTTCGGTATAGAACACTATAAAAAAACGCAACATTCCAAATTGATTAATTAGATCAAAATGCAATCACAGATTTCATAGCAAATACCTTTCCCAGAAAAATTAGCGCAAAATTATGATCAGAAAAATGGAAGCTATGGAGAGAAGCATAGGAAATTATTTATAGTACAGTACTGATTATGAAATGTGGAGAGAGTAGTGTACCGGTACTGAGCCAAGCAAGTAGCTCGTGGGAAGATTGCTGAAAGACTCGTCCATCGGACTCGATTTTTTTAGAAGAAAAAAAAAGAGTGAAATGGTGAAAAAGAGAGTTCACGATTAGATGATCATTTACCGGGAATCAGCACGTAATGTCCACACATTTCAAAAAAAACGTCTTTCATCTTTTTATTTTTTGATATTTTCGCAGTTATTTTCATCTATCATTACACAAAATATCATTTTCATCTATTTTTTCAATTAAAAATTATGAAATGACAAGCATACACTTATCTTTAAATAAAAGAAAAAACTAATAGTAACTATAACCCTAAATTTTTCAAAAAGAACAAATGAGTTTTAAATAAATTATTAAAAGGGTAATTAGCACATAAAGTCTACACATTTCATTATTATTGCAAAAAAAACGTTCATATCTTTCTTTCTTTTTAACATTTCCATCCTTAATTACACATTTGATTGAGAAAACTATCATTTCTATCCATTTTCATTCAATTTCTCAACAAAGATATGTGAAATGATGAATATAGTCTCATATTTAAATTAAAAAACTAAATAATTAATTGCAACTATAGTTCCAATTTTTTTTTTAAAAAAAAAAGTGTAAACAAGTCCCAAATAAAGTATTAAAAAATATAAATTAATTTTTTTTTAAAAAAAATGCAAACAAGCCACAAATAAATTATTAAAAAATTAGAAATTATTTTTTAAAAAAAATAAAAAGTGCAAATGAGTTTTAGATAAATTATTAAAAAATTAGAAATTAAATTCTTTTGTTTTTAAGTGCAAACGAGTCCAATTAAATTCATTAAAAAAAATTTAAAATAAATTATTAAAAATTAGAAATTAAAAAAATTCTTTATTTTTTTAAAAATAGGATAGTATATGTATTATCATTTCACTGCTCTTTATTGATAAATTAGATAAAAATGAATAGAAATGATGATTTGCGCAATCAAATATTTAATTAATGGTGAAAATGCCAAAAAATAAAAAGGTAAGAACGTTTTCCGTGATAATAGTGAAATGTATGGACATTATGTGCTAATTACAGTTTCAATAATTTATTTGGGGACTTATTTACCCTTTTTTAAAAATTTGGTACTATGATTGCAATTAGTTTTTTCTTTTTCCTTTTGTTTTTATTTAAAAATAATTGTATATTCGTTATTTCACAATTTTTAATTGAGAAAATGAATGAATATGACATTTTACGTAATGAAATGTGAAAATAATGATGAAAATGACAAAAAAAAATTAAAGGTGAGGACGTTTTCCAGCATAACAGTAAAAGGTGTGGGCATTATGTGTTATTTACCCATCATTTATTCTGATTCAAATTGTTGATTTTATTGAATAAAAATTGAACATAAGTGATGAGTTTAAATCAAACTTATCGACCTTATCAAAATTGAACAGAGTAACGACAAGAAAACATTCATAAACAAACAAACAAACAAAAATGCTGAAGTAATGTCGGTGAAATGAATGCAAAGTCGAGGTAAGAATTAAATCATTTGTCCTTAAATCGAATTTGTCTTGCAATGGTGCCTACAGATGATGGCAATTAACTCTCAAGATACAACGACAATCTTCTTGTGTTAATAACATAAAATACAAGAATCAACGAACCAAAATTAGGTTATTGTACTCATTTCGAATGAAATGGAAAACAACTTTTATGCAAAGTTTTAGCTAAAAAAAATATAGAATATCATGTCATGCTATAATTGTATATCATTGGGTTGATAAAATGGACATCTCAATTATCTTATTTATAAAGGAGGAAATGTTGTGTATGAAGTGCCGCGCCCCAAAACTCAGCAACATTTGCCATGGGATCGCAACTTTTGCTATCACTAGCCTGTCGCCCTTACGTCTCTCGAGCGTTTAAAATAGAGACTGTTTTGTTCGCTTGTCACAAGTCTGTCACTCGAGTGATAGCCTCACCTCTTGAACGCTAAGCGAGTGATGGAGTTAGATAAATACCCGGCCAATTTCCTCTCTTTCTCCCTGCTAACTTTAGATCATAACTTCTTATTCATCCAGAATTTGTTTGAAGATTTCAAGTATACAACGACGATCAACTTGATGAGTAGAACAAATTTGTATATTTATTTTCATAATTTGATTATCAGATCAAGTCCAAATATTTGCTCGAAATCAACACGAAAGTACTCTTCCATATTTATACTTAATCAAATTTACAGCAAAATTTGAGTTCTTTCTCTAATGGTTTATCCACTATTACCAGAGGAGCCTTAAAATTTCCATTTCTCCAATGCTTCGTTGGCAAGGAATATGCAAAGGTGCCAATGGAGAGACAGACACAACAATTAGTGTAAAACGCGATTTAATATTTATTGAAGCGAGTTCATTGTAGGGTTAAATCCACACATGATCACTGTATTTTATACTTTGTGTCACAATGATCATCCAAATTGATTTTGATTCATCATGGCAACTGTGCTTTATTTTGTGTATCTCCATTATCACTCAAATTGATTTCCATTGTACTTTATATTTAGCTTATGTTTGGTACAAATTAAAATTAAAATTTTAAACTAAATTAAAGTCAACAACTAATTTTTAACCACACGTTTATGGAATTCACAACTTTTCAACCACAGGTTTTATTGACTTTTATCAAAATCTACTAAAAATTTGATTTTAATCCCCACCAAACAGGGATTTGTGTCACCATGGCATCCAAATTGATTTTGATTCATCATAGTCACCCAATTTCATATGAAAATGCATTATTCTCCAAATTCATTTTAAATTACACATTCTTTTAATAAAATAATTTTATATGTAAATCCAAATTTTTTTCTTACTTTTTAACCACACTTTTTCCAAAAAATCATTATTACAAAATACATTCTTTCAGAAAAATGGGGCTCAAACACCGTAATTTTTCATGATTTGGGTTTGCAGATTTTTTATTTTATTTTTTGTGTATGCTAAGGCGTGTGTGTATGACTAGTTGTATATTTTGTACTAAGCAAAAAAGAAATTGTTTCTGCTTTACATTGATGGATTGGAACTCATAAAATCTTTCTCCACCAATGAATTAATGTGTTATGTGCCAACTCATCGGTGCTTAGGATAAGATGAGCACCGGTGCTCATTAGATCATTTCTGTATATATATATATATATATATATATA